TTGTTGTAGTATTTGCCTTTGGGATATTAGTCCAAAGAATAATTCCTTAGTCCAAGGAATTTGGGGGAATTCCTTGCCTACACAATGTCTAGAAGAATTTTTCCCATGTTTCTTCTAGAATTTTTATAGTTTCATGTCTTGCATTTAACTTTTCTCCATCTTGAGTTAATTTTTGCATGTGGCAAGAGATAAGGGTCCTGTTTTATTCTTCTGCACGTGGCTATTCAGTTTTCCCAGCACCATTGTTTGAATAGGGCTTCTTTCCCCAGTGTATGTTTTCTGCTTTGTTGAAGATCAGTTGGTTGTTACATAGATGGTTTTAAATCTGGATTGTCTATTTTGTTCCATTGCTCACCCTGACTTCTGCCATTTTTCAGTTCTGAAGGAAATAGTGTTTCATGGCTTAATGTATATGACATTATTGTCCCTAAACCCCTACTATGTTCCTTTCTACAAGTAGCCTATGCTCCCACAGTGTAACATGCTAAAAAACTGGCTCTGTCCAATGCTTTGGAGGAAGCTGGCCTATTGGAACTAAAGGCGAGCAATATCCCAGAAATTTTAACCAGTCTAAAAAATGACTCAGAGTTAGAATGTGTGACTTTTAGCTGCACAGAGAGTATCCACTCAAAATAAGTAGGGGCTGTATTTGAAACAGGAAAAGTAACAATGCTGCAACTTCCTCTCCAAGGATAACTTTACTGTAATAAATACGAATTTTCGTTCAAAAGTTAAAAATGTCAACAAAGACATGCAGGAAGTGCTTCTCTGCTCCTAATTCCCAAAATAATTTCTCTCTTCTCTGAACACATTTTTGGTACCTCTCTTAGGACATTTTATAGTTTTTAGCTCATGTTATAGTTATTTATGTCCATGTCTGATCTGCCCAAGATAGAAAACTATAAAAGCATTGAAGGCAGAGACACTGATTCATCTTGATTCACTTTAAAGTGCTTGCTAAGAATGGTCTCTTATACAAAGGAGTCAGTACACTATATTTAATGAAGGAACTGGCGAATTCTCGAGCAATCCTTGTCATGAGCTAACACTTGTGAACAAATTCTTACAATATGATCATATAGAACTAAATACTTTGATTCATTTTCCAGACAAAAGTGAAGGAGAAAGAAGACAAGTTGGAATGTACAGGGTGCAGAGGGTGGCAACAATGTTTTGGACAAGTGTTTTCTCCGCTGTCCCAAAGACAGCAGATGTGGCAAAAAGACGACTGATTGTTTAAAAGGGATGGAGATGTGGTTTCTGTCCACTTATAAGCTGCATGGTTATCATCAAGATGTCAGAATTCTCTGGGCCATGGTCCCCCATCCCTCTGTAAAAGAGGTTGATGAGGTGATGAGCTATAGTTCCTCCTCACATAAGCATTCCAGAAGATTAAAGCTATTAGGAATCTTAAAGGTCATCTAGCCCTAGAATGGCAATTCAGCCTTATCTTACATGCCTATCAGTAGCAGCTTCCTGAAGCCCTGTGTTGAGAAGGATTCTGAGGCCACCTTTGGGCTCAGTGGAAAAGACAGCCTTGACTTAATGATGCCTCCCATGAGGCAAGGAGGGGAGTGAGAACAAATAGTCAAGTTATGTCATCCCTGATCTAACTCAAAGCCTTCACATAGAATAATGAGACCAGAAGCTCATGTTTTAAGCTTGTGCCAGGTACTGTGCAAATTGCTTTCACACGTAAACTGTATTTAATCCTTAGTAGACAACTGAAAAAAATTAGCATTATTATGATTCCTATTTTACAGTGGTGGTCTAAGGAAGCAGTATTTGCCTGAGGTTCAGACTCTAGAAACCTATATCTTTAAGCACTTCCCTATACTGCCTCCTAATCTGTGGGCACTTACGGTACTACATGTTATGCCATTGGTTCTCAGGGGGTAATTTTCACCTCCAGAGGACTTTTTTTTTTTTTTGAGACAGAGCCTCAAGCCATCCCCCTGGGTAGAGTGCCGTGGCATTACAGCTCACAGCAACCTCTAACTCCTGGGCTCAAGAGAGTCTCCTGCCTCTGCCTCCCAAGTAGCTGGGACCACAGGCGCCCGCCACAACGCCCGGCTATTTTTTGGTTGCAGCCGTCATTGTTGTTTGGCGGTCCGGGCTGCGGATTCGAACCCACCACCTTAGGTGTACGTGGCTGGCGCCTTAGCCGGTTGAGCTATAGGCGCCGAGCCACCTCCAGAGAACTTTTTTAAAAAAACTGGAGACTTTTTTATGTTAGAAGTAGGGAGGCCAGGGTGATCCTTGCATGTAGTAGATATAGGCCATGGATGTTTCTAAATGCATAGGACAACACCCTCCCACCCTCAAAAACAAAGTGTTCATAGTGTTGAGGCTGAGAACTCACTGTTAGGCTACATGGCAGTTATTTGCAAGCACATGATCAAACTCTGTAGCCCAGTAGGTACAATAACACTCTCCATTTTACAGACAAGGATAGGTGTTCTTAGAATCAGGAAATGGTCACAAGAAGACAGGAACCTAGGTAGCTTGATTTTAGAGGCCTCCAGAGTTCCCTGCCACTACACTCCATTATGATCAGCCCCCTCTACTATCAAATCATGCACACTCAAGCAGCACTTGCTTACCTATTTCAAGATTTCAGAAGCCAATTCTGAAAAATTCCCACTGTGGTGGGCATGTCTGCAAAAATAAAAGTATTTGTTTAACAGTCCAAAGAAGAGAGTCTCCAGACACTCTTAATATGGAACAAATGATCTTTCTCTAGTAGGCATTTGGATTATCTCTTTAAAATAAAACTCTAGGAGAACGCTAATTTTAGAATATTAACAAGCTAGCTCTGCGTGGGTTTCAACTTTTTTTTTTCTTTTGATTTTAGGAGCTGGAGAGACTGAATGCTTATTTAGGAGAAGAGGAAATGAAACTGAGAAAAACACAGTACGATTCCTCTTTTTGTTGGAGGCAAGGCATAATCTGAATATGAATAACTCGCTCATTCTGTCCAATTAGCTGCCTCAAGTACAGATGGGGAAAAAAATACACACTCTATTTTGATTTGGAAGAAACTGAAGAAAAAGTCAAGAATGGGATGCTAGCTTAAACAGTACCATCCTATGCAGATAATTTCATTTTGGATTAGGCTTCTTTAAAAAAACAAATGCTAATAACGAATCAGTGAGAGTGAAGGTGGAGAGAAGAAAAGGAAAAAGAAAGTAGCTTGAATGAAGAAGGGGACTGGGAGCGGAGGACAGAGCAAGTTTCGCTCTGAGCAGAATTACTGAAAAATGGAAGGTTTGGGGAAACGAAGGCTGAGCTGCCCAGGCAACCTGGGCTGGGCGTGGGCACGGTGCCTCCCTGAATTCGGGATGAATGGACCGGGTGCCCGTTCGTCCATCTGGAGCTCGCTGGGTGTTGGGAGGTGGTTTAAGAACTGCGGAGTCATTCAATTTGAAATCTCCAATTAGGTTCTTCGTGTGCAGACAGAGGCAGAATGACGGCGGTTAGCTCTGTAGCATCCTCCCGCCCTCGCCCAACGCCTGCCAGATCCAAAACAGGAGGTCCCAGACATTCCGCGAAGGGGATGGTTCCAGAAAGCCGAGATCTGAGCGCGATGAATGAAATATGACTACATACACATGGAACAGCTCCGGAAAGAGCCTAAGAAACCTTGAGTTAGGGTCAGTTCGGAGATGGAAAGGCGTGGTGTGCTGTAGGTGGCGGATGGCACCGGGATTTAACACCTGAGTCGCCTGCGAGGTTCAATGCCTGGCGTTTCTGATTCTCCGCGCTTAGAACGCTCTCAGCACTAGGGTGTGGCAGCTCCTTTCCCAGTTTCAGAATCTGAATACAAGCCACCTCTGCCTAACGGCCCTCAGGGAGAGCTCAGTACCACACACCACGACCACTTCTGAAAGCTCTGCTTAGCTCTTATCTCAGTCCTTACTAGCAGTTCGTCTGCAGGTTCTTGTTCAGTATATTCTCTTCTCCCCACTAAACTGTAAACTTGGCGAGAGTAGGAACCTGGTGTGCGTGCAATGGCCACATCTGCTCCCGGTAGACAGTAGGCACTCAGTAAATGCTCGTTCCTTTCCAACCCTGATACCTGCTGCACCCGACGCATTTGCGGTGTGCGAAGTAAACCCAAATTATGAGTTTCTTACTAAATTCACACTAGGATCAAAGGAGGCGGAGGAGCAAGTGGGCCGTCGAGTCGGGTGGGCTTTTCCGTCTATCAAGGAGATTTAACCACTGTTCTGCTGGGCCGCCGGCAAGGATCTCAATGACTGTCCCTGGAGGTCAGGCCATAGTTTCCGAGCCCGGGGCCCCACACCAATTCTGTTTTTGTCATCGGGAACCCACAATCCTCCCTTCACCAGGTATTTTCTCCTTGCTCGATTTCTTTGCCTCAGCCTGACTTCCTCAAGAGGTCGGATTCTCTTCACCTGTTTGGTCGCGTGTGTCCCCTGGAACCTGCCCCCTAAACGCGCCCCTCCCGCGCCGCCCTTCTCCTTCCTTGTCCCGCCCGGAAGCGCCTCTCGACGATCATTTACTGAGCACCTACGACGCGCAGGCACCAGGCAGGGCCGCCGGGAGCCCCTCCCCAGCTCCACCGCAGCTCTCGCCTCCCTCCGCCCAGCCCACCGGTCCGGATTCCAGAGTCCCAAACTCCCCGGACTGCGACACGGAATCCGCTGGCTTCTCTAGGGACATCGCCACCCCGCCTTCTCCAGAGACGACTTCTGATTGGTGAGAGTGTGGGTCACTCTGCCTCTCGTCCCGCCCTCCCCGCGTGGCCCCGCCTTCAGGCGGCCTGAGGCTCCTCCTCCTCGCTCCCGCCCCAGGCTCCGCTCCTCCAGCTAATAGCTGCGCGGCGCGCGCCGGGAAGTTCTGGGCAAAGTGCTGAGAACTGTCCGCGCGGTCGCAGCGCCAGCCGGAGCAGGGGGACCCGTGCGCGAGGCGGCCAGTGAGCAGCGCTGGCTCCCGCCCGGCTGTCGGTCTCTTGACTCCTGCGGCTGCAGTGGGAGCTGTCAGCTGCTGGTTGAGAGGGGATCGGAGTAGCCGGGTTTGCTTTCTCTTCCTGGGTCTGTGCGCTAGCCCCGGAGCCCGGCATCGGGGAACTAGGCGGTGTCCCTGGCGGCAGAGCGCTCAGGTAACCAGCGGGGAGCCGGTCGGAATCGTGTCTGGGCGTGGTGGGGCCCGCCGGCGGCGCGGGCTCAGAAGGGCTGCAGCTGCAGGGAACGGCGCCAGTCCCCGCAGGACCGGAGTCCCGGGAGAGGGGCTGCCGGCGGGGCAGCCCCAAGCCGGGAGCATCGCCTTCAGTGCCGGCTCCAGCTCGCCGGGAGGGAGGGCACGGGTGCTGCCCAGCCTAGGGCTTGGTCCTGCGAGAGACAGTTCAGTCGGGTTTGACGGCCAGAGGAGGCGAGCGCAGGGCCTGGGGTGCGGGTGCTAGGGGATCCCGTGCAGAGGAGCTGTGCTGGGCAGCGGCAGGCGCTGCCCCGGGGCGGGAGGCGCAGGACATCTGTCTAATTGGGCCGAGCAGGAAGCTTTACCGCATCTCCCTTGCCTGGGAGACCAGGGTAATGCTCGGCAGTGTAGCCGCCCCACTCTCCTGCCTTCCCCCCGCAGCCTGCTGGGTTACCCGCTGCCAGGCTGAGGGCCACCGGCATTCGCCCCTAGGGGAGTGTTTGCAGCCTCTGGAGCCGCTGATGGGCTCTGTCGTAAGTCCTGCACATACTTCGTAAGCTGAGATGCGTCGCCCTCCTTTGGCAACTTGCTAGCTGCCTTCTTCACACTCGTACTCATCCTCTTTCACCTCACAAGCCATCGGTTTTTCTCAGTCGGGACGCTGTGAAGTTGTCATTTTCCATGTGTCTGCTACTGAGGCGCTTAAGGCCCCCCAGATGTTGCGCTGATCCTGAGAGTTTGAGTAGTGGGAAAGAGGCATTTATAAATATTTTAAACTGCAGCTGCAAAAGCGATGTAGTTGCACAGACAAGTAAAAGCGCAGGCCTGGCTTCTGAGCATCACGCTGTTCCCTGAAGCAGCAAACAAGGTGAGGTTCCCCTTCTGGCCGAAGGAGACCAGCCAAGCAGGCCTGGGCAGGGATGCATCAAGCTAAATGATGTCCCCTCCACCAACTCTGCACAGGCCTATTTGCTGTTTCTCAGGGAACTTCTCTCTCCCTGAAATTATCTCTTTGGGTTATTGGGTTATCTGCCTTCCTCCACTAGAATGCAAGTTCCAGGAAGGCAGAGATCTTATTTGTCTCCTCAATTCCTTGATCCCCAATGTCAAGAACACCAATTAGGTTTTCAGCAAACATTTACAGAATGAATAAATGAAAACTTCTCCACAAATTTGAGAAATGGTGATTTCATAATAATTTTCTTGGGTGGAGACGGAGTCTTACTCTGTTGTCCAGGCTAGAGTACAGTGGCTGGAACATAATTCTCTGTAGCCTTCAACTCCTGGGCTCAAGGGACCCTCCTATCTCATCCTCCTGAGTAGCTGTGACTATAGTTCTGTGCTACATGCCTAATTTTTAAATTTTTTGTATAGACTAGGTCTCCCTATGTTGCTTAGGCTGGTCTTGTACTCCTGGCCTGAAGTAATCCTCCCACACTGTCTCCCAAAGTGCATAGCTCATTCTGATTTTTATCTTCATCGTTTTTTTCTATTGAGAAAATTAACAGATGGCAGTAACTACTGATTGATTAGTAGTTGGTATACTGAGTCCCTGGAATCCCAGGATGTACAAGGAACTTTGTGTAGATTTCCCCATTAAACAGTAGAGTAGTGATCTTACTAGCAAGGCAGTTTTAACTAGGTAAAAAATTGAGGCTCTAGCAGGTTACCACATTTCCCAAGGTTATCTTGGCAGAATCAGGATTCCAGCCCATTTTGTTTCTATTATATTGGGCTTCTTCCAAGAAACTAAAATGTAGTTTCCACAATTACAGTCATAGACATTTAGCTACATTTGTATCAAAAGCTATTGCTTAGTGAAAAGATTTGTTTAAATATTGAAATATATTTTCAGTTAGGCTAAGAGTGGGTCAGATACTCCCAGGCTGCTATAGTCTGTATTAGCTCATTTAATTTTCACCATCTTCATAGGCAGTGTTGTGAGGATATCTCCATTTTTTAGGCAAAGAAACAGAAGCTAAGGTTCAAGAATTGGCTCAGGGTCACGAGTAAATTGCAGATGTACAGTTTGGCAGTGGTCTTTCCAACTCTAAATTTATCCTTATCTCCTTCTATTATTCTATGATCTTTTTTTGCCCCACTTTTACTTATGTATTGATCATTATGATAGAGTCCAATGGTGCAAATAAAAACAATATTTGAGGTTGGACTATGAACTTTCCAGTCCCAATATCAAGTGTCTGGTTGTACTATTTTCTCGAGACTCTTACTGCCATTGATTTTTGTGGTTGAGTTTGTGGTTTGTGGGCCTGATAGACTGGGAACTGAGAAAAGGAAATCTTCCTTTCACCTAAATCTAAAGGGAAATCTAATTGGTTTTACTTACTCCAATAAAAGAACTCTGAACAGTAATACTTCATAGTTTTTGAAGAAAGTGCTGGAAAGAGAGATGGTTCCTCTGATCTTATATGTAGAATGTAGAATTAGAAACCACTACTAATTCCCAAAGCTTCTGCTTTTGTAAACTTTGTAATAAAATAGCTACATTTTAACTCTTTCCAGTCCTGCATTGACCCTGAAGTTGAAAAGGAGTTGAAGCAGGTTGGCATGATCACCATATAAAGGGCTTATGGCAAAATAGAGATGGGCAAGGAATTACTGGTCCCTTTTTCTTCTACTTTATTCTAATTTGGAGGGTAATGTAATGTTTTTCCCTGTGTTTCTTTTCTTTTTTTTTTTTAGACAGAGCCTCAAGCTGTCCCCCTGGATAGAGTGCCATGGCTTCACTGCTCACAGCAACCTCCAACTCCTGGGCTTAAGCGAGTCTCCTGCCTCAGCCTCCCAAGTAGCTGGGACCACAGGCGCCCGCCACAACACCCGGCTATTTTTTGGTTGCAGCCATCATTGTTGTTTGGCGGGCCCGGGCTGGTTCGAACCCACCACCTAAGGTGTATGTGGCTGGCGCCTTAGCTGCTTGAGCCACAGGCGCCGAGCCTTTCCCTGTGTTTCTTAGCAGTACTATGTTTTCTTAATTGTTAATTCCTTTTCTGAGTATTCCAGGGAGGGCTGGAGAACCCTTCATCCCAGGAATGCCCATGGAAGTGATGAGGATATGGGACACCGAGGAAGATGAAAACTATTAGGTTGAAAGAGCTCTTCATGTTTAACTGGGAGTTGTTTATGGTTCCCAGCAAATTCCATACTTATGTCCTTCTACTTATTCATCAACTGTCTGGTCCTTCTCTTCTGGAAACTTTCTTTTTGACTTCCCAGTTACTGCTGTTCAGATCACATTTACGTTCACTGCACTCATCTTTTACATTGGTCCTTTCCTAATGCCTTTGCAATGTCCTAGCACAGAGTCTTAGTGACTTCTGCACTCTGTCCTAACATTGTCTGTGGTAGATTTTCCTACCTAAGTCTTTCTTTCATACCACAACTAGGTAAATTCCTTAAGTACTATCATGAACTTGTTAAAAATTTTTGGGTGGCTTATGTACTTAATGTTAACTGCTAATCTTTTATGTGCCAGGTGCTCTCATAAGTGCTATACATTCATTAATTGCATTTAATCCTCCAAGCAACATCAAAGCAGGCATGATTGTTATATCCCCTCTTTCCAGATAAGACCAGGAAAAGCTAGTTTACAACTACTTTGCAATGCATATATTGTGGATCTGAGACTCAAACCCCAAGTTCTTTACTCACTTAAGCATTGATTCCTTAGTCTAAAGTTTAGATCTGGTAGACAAACTGTTAAAAAATGAATGACATAATCTGGGAAATTTGACTGTGGATGAAATGCTACGATTTTTAAGGATTTATTGCAAAATAATCTGGGTATGAAGAAGGAATACAGACCAAACAAGATCATCTGTAAGTTGATTACTCAAAGTGGGTGATGTTTTTGTAGGATTTTTAATGGTATTCTTTCTTTCTCTACTATCCACCAAGGCAGCCATTGGCCACATGAGGCTGTTGAGCACTTGCAGAATGGCTAATCCTTATTGAGATGTGTGTAAATGTGAAATGCACACTGAGCTTCAAAGATTTAGGATGAAAAAGAATGCAAAATGTTTTTATCACCTCATCCAGAAATGATAATATTTTGGATATATTACGATAATATGTAATTAAAACTAATTTTACCCATTTTCTTTTTTTTTGAGACGGAGTGTCATGATGTCACCCTCAGTAGAGTGTATGGCATCACAGCTCACAGCAACACTTAACCCTTGGGCTTAAGCGATTCTCTTGCCTCAGCCTTCCAAGTAGCTAGAACTACAGGTGCCTGCCACAATGCCCGGCCATTTTTGTTGTTGTTGTTGTAGTTGTCATTGTTTTTTAGCAGGCCCAGGCCAGGTTCAAACCTATCTGCCTCTGTGTATGTGGTTGGCACCCTAACCACTGAGCTACAGGCACCGAGCCCCTATTTTCTTTTCATGATTAATTGGCTTCTTAAAATTACATGTATGGCTTGTATTACATTTCTGCTGGACAGTGCAGCTCTATACATTTGTGTATGTTTGGAACTTTTCATAATTAAAAGCTTAAAAATATCAAACACACACAGCTATGATTTAATAAAAAAAATCAAACACATCTGATTTTTTAAAAAAAATCCTAGAGTGCAATATTTTTCGTATAGGATTCCTCTGATCTGAAAAGATAAAAAAATGCTGATTTGTTCAAAGATGATTCTCTGCAGAAACTTATAGTAGATAGGATATAGCCTTCCAATCTTACTCCTGGGCTTATTTTAACTATGTGAAAATTAAAAAATTATTTTATAGTAAATGGAATAGCAGTGTGAGGGTACTGAATTGCCCTTCCAGTGAAGGGCAATTAAACTTGATTCCAACAAAAGAATCTGGTTCTTTTGTTTTGAAGTTAACGAAATATGTCTTTCATCTTGGAGAAATAGAGAAAACTTAGTGCTAATTTCCTTATTCTTTGTCACATTATTTATAGACCCCTGAAATGGGATTTTCCCTGGACTTGCTT